AAAAATCAAGACTAACATAAGCTTAATCAGCAAGCACCAATCATAGTTTAGGAAGGCTTTGCTTCTTCCGGGTGTTGCCACTTCGACCCAAGACAGAGAGAATATGGTTGTCATCAATTTATCAGATTCAGTTTTTGTATATGAGTGACTAAGGACCGCACACATGTTCAAGCCCTAGATAATTTGAGAATATTTCCTAAGTTATCAGCCAAAGGGAGGCAAGGAAGGACTTGCACGACACCTATCCATTTATAGATTTGTAATCATTACCTTGAATTCCTCTACTATAAATAGAGGACTCCTTCTCTCATTTTCGGGATTCTGATACTAAACCCTCATTCTAATTGTAATCTTTATTTTCAAAGCAAAGATAACCTACGAGAAAGAGTCTGACTTGATATTCTCTCTTAATACTCAGTTATTGTACCTCTACTCGTTGTTCAATATACGCTACCTACTTTAATCTTTCATATATAAAAGAAACAGTGGATGTAGGATTCGCTTTAATTATCCTAACCACTTTGAAAATCATTTCTCATTTATTATTCAGTCTTTGTATTAGATTATATTGATCAGCTCTCTCATAATCAATCACGTGTAATTTCTAAGGCTTCCTTAGCACTTTGCACATGCGAGTCGTTGGTGTCAAAATCACGCATCAACAGTCTATATCAAGGAAAGCATCTTCTCTGCCAATAATTTTGCACTCAACATCAGTCCTCATCTTCACATGACAAAATTGTTCGTTGGTGTATGATGAGAAGTAATCACGGTGGGAAGTGACATGATATTGTTGAGCCCTCATGTGTTTTGATATACCAAAACTAATCAAAGAGTTCATTGGTTTTTAACAAACACGCAAAGGTATGACAAAAGTCATAACCAAAACAAAAGATGCAGTTTTCCCAATTGGTATGATCGTGCAAGACGAAGGAATGACTATTCCTAGTTTCATAAAGTTGCTCATAGCACAACCACGTACTTGATGATCATGCATTCTTCCATCTAAAATGATGTCAAGTTGGTCACAATGTCACAATCAAGCTACACGACCATTCCAACCAAGTCAAAAGTCAAAGTACTCTAAATTCAAATGTTTTCACAGCTTTGACAAACCTTGAAGATCAAGTTGAAATTCAAGTATTTCAAGTAAAACAATCATGTCACACAACTGGTCCCACTCAAATATCGTTCTTGGCAAAACGTCATCATTCCAATAAGCTATGCATGCTTCTGGATTTTTAAGGAGCCAATGGACCAATTGTTCCTCGTGGTTGAATATTTATTTGCGACAGTGGAACAACCGTTCGCGGTGGTCAAACGATCATTCCATAAACCCTAGAACTGAGCTAAAGTATTCGTTATGTTGGGAATAACCGTTTGTGATAGTGGAACGTCCGTTCCTCTAGGTAGTGCAACTTTTCAAAGCTGCATTAAATGCAACAACAACTCTTTACTTCAAAGGGGAGAGACAAGAAATAAATAGAGCGTTTTGTTGCAAAGAAGACAAATAGAATATCAGAGAAACAAAACTCTTATCAAAAATATTCTCACATAATCCCTTGAGCTAAAAATCCAAATCATTATCACTCTCTTGTACTCATATTGAAAACCTTTGAGAGTATTATTCTTATTGTATGTTTAAGTCTAGTTAAGAGGCAATCATTAAGGGTGAAATCCTGTAAATCTAGAGGCGAAATCTTGTGAAACTATATTAAAGGGCGAAATCCGATTCTAGTAAAACTTCAAGGAAGTTGCCTTGAAGAAATGGATGTAAGAGGCTTTTAGATATAGCTCCAAACCACTATAAATCTCTGATCATTTCTTCTCTCTCAACTCATTTATTATTCCTTACATATTTACTTGAAAATCATTATTACTTGTTCATATTTATTGCTCTCTCATTTATTACTCACCATTGTTTATCTTTGTTGATTATTATTATTCTCATTTATTGTTGTTTTAAGTTCTTAACTTGTGTGGTTGGTGAAAGTTTTTATTCCGCATTTATTTTCATCGATTCGTTTCGTAGTCACTCATCACCCTCCCACCCCATATAGGGTTTTACGTATATGAAGCACCAAAATCAACTAGCCAATGAGCATTTTGAAATGCCAAATTTATGCTACCAAATTCAAAACAATGCTAACATCACCATCAATCACAATTACAACAGTGTTGTTCCCATCTTTCTCTTTTTCAACTTTTTTTTTCATTATTTTGCTCTCTTTTGAATTTTATACACTAAAACTTCTTATGCCCTGGCCTACGACAATGAAAACAAATAATGTCTTTCTTTGTCTTCGATCTTCGATTTTCCTTGTGATCTATTATAGTAGTCACGATTTTTCGAATTTCTAATTTTGTTTCTCCCCCGTTTCTCTATAACTAATGCTTGAGCTTGATGCGACGCAATTAACCCTTGCTCATTTCTTCTATTTTCTTCATTCAAAACATTGTCTTTCACCATCTTCAAAGTGATTTTTAACTTCAAGAGCATAATTAGTAAGTGAAAAAACAAAATTCTTTTAACATTCTAGCAATGAACCCCAACGAACCAAAGCATGCACCTTGTCATCCAACAACCCCTGAAAATAACTCAGACGCTCTATCATAAGAGTATCGTCTTTATATTTCGTCAACATAAGCTTCCTAAAAAAAAAAAGCTTGATTTTGTGCATTCTTCAATTCAAATAAATCTTGCAAATGTCTCCACAACACATGAGCATTAGTTTCTTTCTCAATATGAGAGTACATAGAGTTATTGTAGACTGTTAAATCTATCAGAAGTTTTATGGGAATGATCTTGGGGAGAAGAGGCCACTGACAATCTTCTAAATTTGTAGAGAGTCAGGAATGGTGAACCTGAAGCACTTAGGGACATTGATGTGGTTTGGGTCTTAGACACTTCGATACTCAAATCAGCAAGGTTGTGACAAGAAAAGAGCATAAAGTAGGCTAGGTTTAGGATTTACTGTTACCATGGAGCTAAGGCACAGCTTATCGTCGTAGAGTGGTTGGAACTTGGCTCAATGACGGAAGACAGCAGCTAAGGAGAAAATAAGAACAAGAAAGGGAATTATGTGTGTTGACTGTATGTAAGTCGATGAGTCTAAATTTGGATTCTGAATCAATCTCCAAGAGGACTGAACTCTGTTTTTTGTAGGGAGCCAAGGTGGTTCAAGTCTTTGTAGAATTTAGAGTACTAATTTTCATGGAACTAGGAGTACTTAAAGATGAAGAATTCATGTAAGGCTTAAAACCCCAGGATATCGGGATTCCTATAGGACTCAGAGTGTTTGGGATGTCAGAATCTATATGGGACATGGAATTAGTTGAGTGCCTGAATTCACATAAGACTCGGAGTCTTATAAGTGTTAGACTCTCATGAGATTCGCAATCTGTGGAGAGTTAGGATTCATGTGGGACATGAAGTCCTGAGTAGTGAGCGTGAGCTCTATTGAGTAATCTGAATCATGATTGGGCCAAAGTTGTAGAGAGACTCGACTCATAGAGCGACTTAGATCATAAAGTGGCCTGGCTCGTAAAGATACAAGACCAACCAAAGTTAGGTTGTGGCACTAAGTCATGGCTGTAATAAAGAACCAACTAGAGTTAGGTTGAGGCATTAGGCCATTTGTTGATGTTCTCCGAAGTGGAGTCAAATGTTATTGGCTGTTAGGAGTCCAATATGATTTTTTTCCATACAGTTTGTCCCACACTCTCTAAGTTAAGCTCTTAACTTAGAGGGTAGATCGAGTCGAATATGAATGCGAACTGAACAAGTTGACATCCAAAAGCTAAGAGACCAAATGGACCATTGTTTGAAATGTTGTGTCATTGTCGTGTATAGCCACTCGATATCTATATCGAATGGGAGAGAAGGAATTTCAAAATTCCTTGTTCGTTCTTGTCTCGAGCGGGCTCAAGTAAGACAAGTACGTTGAGTCGACTAAGATTGTATACCTCGACTCAGTATGCAAACTCAGTGTGGGCTAAGTTACCATCGCGGGGAGGAACATGGAATTTGGTTCGACAATCCCCATGTTATTCCAAGTGTAGGAAGCTTACTTGGTCAATCGGAGTTGGGCAGAGTATGGAAGCAAGTAGCTGTGTGAGTTTTGAGTTTAGAACAACTCGGCTTGACGTGTAGTGTCAAGTGTGGCGTCTTTATAGATGATCATTGTGTCATGCATGGGAGGTGGAGTTCGAAACTGGACTTCAAACGCTTGTCCATTCTGCCTAGACAGCTATTGCACTGTAGGTTGCGATCACGAACTGTTACTTTCTAAGGTGAACAGGAATTGCAATCTCATGTTGCGACCACGATGACGCGAACTCGTGTACGGTGATCACGAGTAACAAAATATTGGCTAAGGGTTGAGTGTTATGTAAACACGATCTATTATGTACAGGAGCAGGCGTCGCTATTTGCTTTCTTTTGTTTTTTTTTTAATCTTCAGGTGCCAACTGTTGCTTTTCCTTTGGTGTAGATTTTTTATGCATGGCTCTTTTCTTTCAAGAGGCATACTCCTCTATCTTGGGACAAGGCAAAACGGACAAGAAGATTGAGAAGGCAGAGGAGGAGCTCAAAGAGTTAAAGAATGAGCTGGCTGCAATTCAAAACCTAATCAAGGTTTAGAGGGGCCTTCGCTTCAATGAGAAGAACAATCTATTTAATGCCTCATCGAGGTAAGTTCTCGACAACCAAAAGGAGCTGCAGCAGCCAAAGAAAGTGTAGCTCGAGCTCGAGTTGAATCATAGAATCTAAATGGTATATTTATTTTTTAGCTTTTTATCCTATGATTATGAGTGTCAAGTTGTTTGTTATTCCAAATAAAAATATCTGAAAATTATCATTTTAACTGATATGATTTTAAAAACTATATTACTTAAATAATGTTTAAAATTTTATTAGTTAAGAAAATGTAAGAGCCAATAAATTGACAAACATAAACTAGAAAAATATCAAAACAACATTTCCAATTTCTTAATTATTTATTAGCATATTGCAAACTAACATTAAAGAAAATAATTAAAACAATGTTGACCTATATAATGAAAGGGTAATACTACACTTACAACCCAATCTCACAAACTCTCTCTCATAATTGCTCTCTTAGTCAAGTAAAACTTCATACAAAAACCCCCAATATATCCCTACTTAAACATAAACTATTAAAAAAGTTCAATCGAGACTAGATTTTCGGATCATCAAAACTCCTTTAATCTAGGACTCAAATTGATAAGATTATCAAGGCTCTATTTATAACGATTAACATTACTTGATGCCCCAAGAATTTGGCTCCAGAAATTCCATCTCAGCAATGCTAGTTGACAGATTCCCCAAAAACTTCACAAAAGCAGTACTTGGTTCTACAATACAAACAACTAAATCTTACACTAAATAGGATGACATTAAATTCCAACTAATTTTCATGTGTGAGGGCATTGACGCCACAAAGCGAAGGAGATCTGGCTTTGAGCTAAGCACAGAATCCACATTTTCTGATTTCTGGTCCAGAACATCTAGGAATTTTGAGATATTAGGAAGAACAAGCTCTCGGCAATGGAGATGTAGCAAGGGGACCTTGGATAAGACACTTCCCTTCTGAATGTCTAGACCTTCTGGCCTTCGCAACTTGTATGGCATGCCAGTCATAGGCTCAATATCAACACGAGGCATTTGCTTCCATCTCCGGTGCACAAACCAACCATACTTATAGTCGCCAACAATAGGAGTACCTAAGGCTTCAGCACAATGGACACGGAGCTGCATAAAAACAAGTAATCAAATTATCAACGAACTAGGTTCTAATCATACTGTTTAGCCAACACTGCAGGATAAAAATGCAAAGAGTCACCAACACAAATGGCCTTTCCAAAAAGATAAAATATTCTGCAGTTGTCTTCTTTGTTTGCAATTTAAGCTTTGAAGATCCTTCAAAATTGAAAGACCATAAAATCCAGTTAAGCAAAGAGACATAGAGAAAAGAAGGCTTGATTTTCTTTCCTAGGGTAAAATAGTCAGAATCAAAGCTCAAGATTCAAGTTTTGTTTTCCTTTCATTAGTTTTCTCATCAGTCAAACATGGAAAACAAGCTTCCACTCTCAAATCAATATGTTTACGTCATCACTAAAATAAAAGTATTTTTTATATAAGAGTATCTAATACAGCTGTAAAAACTAGTCAGTCATCCCAATTCAATTGGTTTCCTATCCACTGCATTTCAAATCAAACTCACAGGTCATTAAGTGAAATCAATAGAAAACCGTCGAACTTTCTGAAAAATTATTGATGTTTTATTCTCTTCTTTTTCTGTTCCTCATGTCAATATTTTGCCCCTATATCCCAAGGTTGGACAATTTAACATGAAAAAAAAAATAGTTGGCATCACCTTTCTAGACATATTTTTGGTTAGCTTACCCTTAGCAGGCTGTTCTTTTCAAAGAAAAGAAGTACATGGTACATGAAAAATTGCACATAGCCTTGCCCTCCTGCCACCTTTCTGATCTCTTCCATTCTCTCCTCTTTCACTCTCCCTTTTCCCTCTCTCTAAAGTATGATCTCTCAGCCACAGACCCTATCATCTTAGGTAAAGCCCTCTCTCATGTTGTTGCTTCCACAAAGACTAAGACAAAGACTACCCTTGACCGTACAAGAGAAAATTACTTAATTTTAAAACAAATATAGAAAGATCAAATCACAATTAAGCATTATCGTATTGATATATGTAACATTTAATATATTATCAGTACGACTTAGCACATTAACAGAGTAAACAATGGAACTCATTATTTATTTATTTTCAAACTCACAAATATGAGTCAAACCCCAAACGCTAGAGTGAGTGTTGACTTCAAGATCCATACAAGTAAGATACCCCACAAGCTGAAGTATTTTGGATATTATAATGCATTTACATAATCTAAAATAACATTTTCCTATAAAAAATTTAAAAAAAATACAAATCCTAATCCAATATGAATTTCTAGTTATGCCATTGGTAAGACTATCATGGGTGAGATTATCAAAGAAGATATTGTGACAAAAATCAAGCACGTTAATTTGTTCTCATTTCTTAATGGGCCAAAAAANACACAAATCCTAATCCAATATGAATTTCTAGTTATGCCATTGGTAAGACTATCATGGGTGAGATTATCAAAGAAGATATTGTGACAAAAATCAAGCACATTAATTTGTTCTCGTATCTTAATGGCCAAAAAAAAAAAAACCTTTTATGAAGTATTAAATTACAAAGGGACTAATATCTCAAAAGCACCTTTGCTTAAGTCACATTATTGAACCAGAAATAACTATAGATGCACAGGTCACATTCCATTGAAGACTGCTCCTTTCTAATCAATAAATGCCAGTTGAAAAAAGAGAAATTTCAATAATTTTCAATGCGAAACGAAAAGCATAAAAGAGAAAGAAAAGGTAAAATAATAGCATTGTGTAAGCTAGGGAACAAAGGACAGGTGGCCTTTAATCTCAATGGTAGAGGTGGGGATGTCATCCAAAATTATGTTATGATGTGAATAATTTAAAACCACATAGCACTTTGACGCTTTTCATTCTTTTGATATTAATAATTAATAACAATAATCACTACAATACTAACAAAAATATGAATATAAATATTTATGAACAGTTAAATCCATGTCCACTATTTAAAAAATTAAAGAATTCCTATTCCGTTAGGTAGCTTTGTAATACATTAGAGATGCATATTTCATGGTACCTGATGCTTCCGACTAGTAAGTGGACGCAACTCAATCCATGAGCATCCATTAATCATTGGACCTAGGACTCGATATTCAGTAATGGCTTCTTGGGAAGCCTCAAGACCTGTGTGCTGAGCCAATATGATTCTTTCAGTCTTACCATCATCGAGAAGCACCTACAATCAGTAACAAATAATATACAATCACATCAATGCTTCGTGCAGAAGACCTCAAATCTCTAAAGAAGCTATTCATTATCTAATTAGGTAGTTAAGACCTTTGAAAGAGGAGCACGAATTAACCCTTGCTTTTCCTTGGGAGATCCAATGACCAATGCCCAATGCCGTTGATACATTGCTTCGCAGGCACTATTCCAAGCCTAAAATTCTCAATAAGTATATTATATAGTTTCAAACAACTAAAATCATCTAACAGCGTCTCATATAGTCAAGTAGGTTGCAGAATAGAAATAAGTACCTTAGATGACGATTTTCCTTTATTCAGGTCACTGAACAACCAATTTAAAAGAGAAATGCTTTCTTTAGTTCTCCCCATCAGAAGTAGGCCACTGGACTCTCTATCAAGACGATGTACCTAAAATATCCAAATAACAACAAGAAAAAGTAAACAAGACAAATCAATGGAATATGGATATAGCAGAGAAACTTCCTAACATCCATGACGGGGCACCAAGAACATGGAATGAGTGTTAAAAGTGACATTTAGAGAGAAGTAAACAGACTTGCATAAGTTAAAAAAATTGGATTGATCAAGTTCCCAAATAATACTGTACTTTCTTGAAGATCAGCCTCAAAATTCACCACTACTAGTAGTTATTTCAACTTTATAAGGGTGGATACATAAACCCCTCTATTGACACGGGGCATTAGGCTTGATTGACTGAAATTTTACAATATACATATTCTTTTCAGAAGAAATTATATCCTTCTTATACCTCCACCATGATAAAATTAAAATGTTATATGCAATGACTAAGAGAAATTAAGATGAATAGTATAACGATATTGTGTATACTAATACAAAAGAAAGCCTATATAGGGATTACAAAAGCATAAAATCAATCAAAACAAGGAAACAAGAATATGCAAAATATAAATTAGAAATATTATTAAATGTATTGTTACATATAGAGAGTAAGAGACCATCAGCTTTCATTGACTTGAAATGTTCATCAGAAGATTTTCAGGACATAAAAGCAAGAGAAAGAAGATTAGTTCAAAATTCACATTAATCAACTGCACATGCCTAACTTAACTTAACCCTTTTTTTACTAGGCTAGCATCAGCAGGTATATTAATTAATTTTACTTACTAAATTAATTTTCTGAATTAAATAAGTTGATGTGTTATGGTAGAACAAAAAACTATTTTCCCATCAAGCAGCTCAAAATATGAAAGTTGTAAAACAACTTTACAGAGCTCTCGGTTTAAATCAAGAAACTTAGCAAAAAATTGCACACATGCACACACACTCATATAATCTCGGTAATGTCACGTTCAATTACCATGAAATCTTTCATATAAACTACTACTACTAAATATCTACTGACATCTAATGATAAATCCAAAACCACGTCAATAAAACTCACCAATTGGTAATAAAACTCACCAATTGGTAATAAAACAGAACTTTCATAGAAAAGTTAACATAAGTAGCATAGTACAAGAATGATAAGTTTTGTTTCTCATTTTCAACATAATTAATTTTTCTAGTACAATGAGCTTACCAATTTAGGACCCTCATCATAATCATAAGACAAAGCTGCAGCTGCCAATGCATCCATGCTGTTATGAACAGGCAGATTACCCTGAAGACAAATGGCATACAAAGAATGAAAAAAGCAACATGATATATTGAGACAACAACAACAGAGACTTTAAAGTATCAAACCTTGACAGGCAATTTTGGGGGCTTATTTAGCACAAGTATAGAAGAGTCCTGAAGTTTCAGCAGCAAAAAAGAAATCAACACTAGCAACCAGTTTCCAAAATATTACAGAAAAATAATCACAAAAACGAATGTAAATGTCATCCCACAAGTGCAGCTATGAACATCTACATAGCAACCCCTAGCTAAACTCGAGACATGCCTTGTACTTCACTAGTCTTTGCAAATAATTTATCTCATCAGCATTCGGATATAATGTTCCACTTGGTATAGTATCAAATCTCTTCAAAATCCTACTCTCCATGACCGATACAGGCATGAAGACTCTTGCTCCCACTTCCATCACCTCATTAGGCTTAATCTGTAGGTAAGCTGTATAGTTGTAGAATAATTAAACCCACATGAAAATACAAACAATTATTAAAATATAAACAAAATAATAAGTACCTTTTTCATGGGTCTCATTTGTCCTTCGTTTTCAATTATAGAATCATCCATATTTGGACCTTCCATTTGAACCTGAACAAGAAAAGAACTAAAATATAAACACAACATTTCCAACTACAACTATTAATCATGAACAAAAAAGATAATGAAACAAACACAAATAATCATAACCCTAGAGGAGCATAATGTTTTAGTAACATTAATCATAATCAATCACATGTTTTATATTACCAAAACATGCATTACACCCTCCTTACTGCTTTGAAGTCACCATATATAATTCAGCAGAAATCAATTACGGGGATTTGCTACACTATGACATAGTATTGCCCATCCATTTCAGTAATATTCATCCTCAATCTTAAAATTATAACTTATTTATATGTCTTTGCCACACCAAAGTCAAAATTTGCTCTCCCCCAATGCCAGTAATGGTACAGGGGTTTACAGCCTCTACCATAGCATTCCTTACAACACTTAACAAACATAATCAAAAACCTTACAAAAAAACAGAAGCAAAAAGTTTTCTTTTTAAAAATAAATAATAAAAAATAAATAAATAAAAGAACATCTGGAATAAAATTAACATATTTTTTTGGAATATATGAAAATTTATCAATCCAATATACTAGGGAACAATTTTAATGTATTGTTTCCTGCTTCCAAAGATTGCAAGGTTCGGCGGAGGCTCTAGTTTCGAAGCCGGGCTTGCAAAGCAAGTATCGGGAAATTTGTGTATTCTCAATATATATATATATATATAACCCATATCTTAATTTATGAATATTTAAATTTCCCTTACTCAAACAAAAATCCTACTCCAATGCAAAGTAACCATACCAGGATTTACAGCTCGGCACCTTAACATCCCCTCACAACCCAAAACAATCAACATCACTAAAACCTATTAAAAATTAAAATAAAAAATAAAAAGCCAGAAAAAGAAAGAAAAAGAAAATGCATACTTACAAGACCCTTGTTGAAATGAGCCCGAATGATGGAATCTTGAACTTCATCAAAGTAATACTTGATCCAACTGATGGCTGTTACGTGATCCTGCTGCCCCCAATTCTTTCCTGGAAGATTATCACCAGGAAACGGAGGCAAAGACAGCAGCTGGCGTGGCTTCGGACCCTGCTTCGGTCGGCCCAAGTAGGCTATGTTAGTCTTGGTAATTCGGACCACTGCCGGGGGCGGCGGAGAGATTCTTGAGTAGTGTCGTCGTAATAAAAGCAATACGGATTGGTTTTGCTTCTTCCACATTTTCATTTCGCATGAATGTTCAATTTTCGAAGTGTCCTATTAAGTCAATTATTCACCACCATAAACAACCTATTAAAAAACACAAATAATAATTTATGACAAAAAGAAAAAATAAAACTCATGAAGTTGAAAATTTATAAAAATAATAATTAATAAGATACAGAATCCATCCAAAAATCTGATAATAGTCAGATTGAAGCGTGAAATAAAACGCTTATAAATTTATCCACCACCGTAAACATCACAAACAACCACCCCAAACCTCAAACAACGATTAAGAGTTAAAAATAAATAAAAAATAAAAATCCAAATAAATTTCGAGCAAAGAAAACAAAACTAGAAAACCACAAATGGTAGCCGACCTTGCCTGGGCTTGCACTTCGGGGCCGCGGCAGCCACGACGTAGTAGCCACAACAGCCGCTACCAGCAGCACTCACTGCCCACCCTCGCAGCACTCACCACCAGAGCCCGCCGCACCCACCACCACCAAATACCCTCTCAATTTTTACTCATAAATTGAACTTATTAGTCACACAGCATAAACACAATTTTCAATTTTAATAAAGATACAAATTCTTGAGGGAAAATTTAATTAGTTTATGAAAACAATGTATAAAAGAAAACAAATATATTTGATAGGGTTTTGCACGAGGGTTTTTACTTCTTTTTAGAGGAAGAAAAGACTTAGAACAAAATGTATGCCCAATGGGCCTCTTAGCTCTTGGTTTATGTAGATTTAATTAGGACTATATATATACTAAGGGAAGTGATTTTTGAACTCCATTATTTTTCTCTTTATTCCCATGTCTGAGGTTATAATTGTAATAAAAAAAATTATTCTTCTTCTTTCAATTTTTCATTTCAAAACTTTATATTTACGGTTCTGAAAAATTAAATTAATTAATTATAATTAAACAATAAGATATAAAATTTGTTCAATTAGAATTGTGATATCGAGTATTTTATTTTTTAACGGATATGAAAACATATTTTTTTTGTAAATGGGATTTATAAGTCAACTTGATATAAGAGTTTTGAAGTTATGATTCAATAAACAATTAATTCGTATTTGCATGCAAAGAATTTAGGACACCGAGTGTTTGTTTAATTGGTATGAAACCTGATTTTTCTTCTATTAAGGTGGAATTTAGAATTAATTATTTAATTTATAGAGTTAGAAAATATTGTTCGTAACGATCATACTTCGTGTTATTTATTAATTTAAATTTATGTTAATTCTTTATAACAAAAAATATGAAGTTCCGAAGTAAAAGTATGTAAAAAGAAGAATAAACTTTTTATTACAATTATCCTCACTTAAAATTGAAGACAAGGGCAAAAGGGGAAACTAACGGGCTAAAAATCAACTTTATTATTCGAATTACCCGTTTGATTTTGAATATGGGGTTATTGATCAAAACTAATGGGGTCGAAAGAAAAAAAAAATCACTTCCCTAGTTTAAATTATTAAAGGCCAGTGTGTATGACCATTACTAGTAAGACTAAGACCCAGCATAAGGCCCACTAACTGGAAAATAAAGTATCAAAATTTGTTAACCTACCCTTTTAAGTTCATTACTCAAGTTATTGTTTATGTATTGCTAACTTAAGTATAAAAAAAGACCCCATTGCCACTCATTCATGATTTTTTGACAATAAGTAACTCTACTTAAGATACATACTATATACTATGTAGTCATAAAAAAAATAAAATCATAGAAAATTAATGTGACAATACATAATATAGCCTATAAGGGGTCTCGTGTATGGATGGCAAATTCTTTAGCTACTGAGGTTAACTACACCTAAAGGTCTTGTGTTTGAGTTGTATGAGAAGTATTTATCACATTTGTATAATTACCTTGGTTTATTATACTTGTAGTTTGAGGATTAGACAAGTTCTAACGAGAGCGAGATATCTCATATACCAAAAAAAAATTAGAAGAATCCAAAAAATCTAAAGAGAGCATGTTTAATGTGAGTTTTACAGGAATGATCACACTTTTTATAAAAATTGATCAAGAGAGCTTTTTAATGTGAGTTTTACATGAAGATCCAAAATTTGGACACTTCTACAAATTGGTCCACAAAATTTAGTTGTACATTTTTAATTGGTTTTAGAATATGTGTCAAGGTCACGGATGGTTTAGACTCCAAGATGTCAAAAGTATTACACAAGTGGCAATTAACTTTTGGTTGATGGCCACATGGACTTAGCCTTCAGCTCCCATTCTTGTATACAAACTAGCTTTGAATGGCCACGTGCCTTTTGGCCCTTTGAAGGCGACCCATCCCTAGATTTTTATTGTGCTTTTGCTTTCTACGGAATTCTTTATTTTTTATTCATGAAAAATTTATTGTTGATTTATTACTATATTTACCCACTGTGTATCAATAAATGAAGTTGGCGTCCTTAACTATCATAAATAACAAATTTTTTTTTTTTTTTTTTTTATCAAAATGTCGAACTAATTTAAACACCTCTCGACTAATCCTTCAGGGTCTTGAAATCAACGACCAAGTAAGCCCTCCAATGGTTACCTTTATTAGCAACCGAGAGAAATCGAACTCAAAACCTCTCGGTAATATACTCAAGAATTTCTATCATCCCACCGTCCACCAAAGGTAGTTAAATAATAATTATCTAGGGTGGACATAAAACCCTGCCCAACAGGACCGCCCCTCCCCGGCCCGAACGGGGCATAGTTTCCCCAATCATTAAGGATTTGGGTTGGGATCGGACACAAAATTAGTCTCGAAATTGGGGACGGGCCAGAGCCAGGATAGGTCTTGCCCTGGCCGGCCTCAATCATATATACCTATATTAATTTAATATTTGAAAATCATAATATATTATACAATAATAAATTATAATTGTATAAGTATTTTCTGAAATCATGTACAATAAGTAATAAATACATTAGTAAATATAAATCATTATAATATTATAATATATATTATTATATATATATATTAATTATATTATACATAATATGTTAATACTATGAAACAAAAATATACTTTCGACATTATACGTTGTACATTATACATTATATATGGTATATAAGTATAATGAATAACATATGTATGTTATACATGTATATAATATGATTAAGTGGAAAAGTAAACGCCCGGCCCGGCCCGGCCGGCCGCGGGGTTACTTGTTTTGGCGGTGGGCTCAACCCGCCGCAACAAAGGCGGGCCGGGTTAGGCCGCAATTAAGGGAAATATGCTGGCCCAGCCCGGCCCGCCAGCCCTAACCGCCGGGTTAGGCACGGTCCGGGCCGGGTTAGCCCGATTTTATTATTTTTTTTTGTTTTTTAATTTATCTTTTCAAATAAATAATTATAAATATAATTTTTTTTAGTTAACTTTTCAAATATCAAATCAATTCAATTCAATTTTTTTTTTTTTTGTTAAATTTCAAATATTAATTCAATTTTAATACAATAAAATTGTAATATAAGAAAAATTAGACTTATTCATTTATCAAAAATAAAATAGAAATTCAACAATTATTGCCTCGTTAAAAACCTCACCAAGAAAAACCCAATGGGAGAAAAACTTAGTAAAGAAAAAAAGAGTGCAATAATTGACAATTAATTTCAAATTACATTTACAAAACAACTAAATTGGGGGTGGTTCACTAGGACCTCCCTCATCTGTATCATCATTATTACAAAATTGAAAGATTCTATTAAAGCCTTGTCGATAACCTCGTATTGATTTGATGGCGCGGAGTTCCCAACTCGAAACAATTGAGGACTTCAATCATTTTTGGAGCAAGTTTAGTCCTCTTCATTTAAAATCCTTCACTTGCACTAAATGTTTGTTCGGATGAGACGGTTGAACAGGAACAGCGAAAACATCCAGGCAAGTCTTGATAATACTGGAAAAATACTTCTGGCTCTCAATACTCTAAGAGTCAAAGTGACCTGTTGAAAACATTTCGGGGGTTGCCAAATATTGTTGAAGTTCATTACTCTGCGACTCCATGGAGGACAGCATTTAGTTGTGTTGTGGTGGTGGTGGTGCGCTGAAGAGGAGCTGTGCTCGGACTCGGGTCCTCTTCGGCCTTTCAGTGCATTCCAGAGAAAAGTCTTCATTTGTTTCTTTGCTACAGCTTCTCTGGATATTTCGCCTCTTTGCGACTGCGGGTTCCCATACTGTTTTCATATTGGAAATATACTTCGAAGAGACATTTTTTACCTCTCCTATTTGATTGATATATGATTCGTTTTGTAAATTTTCACTTAAATTGTCAAGACCATTTTCTAAACGTGCTAATTTAATTCTAGGATCAAATATAGCACCTAAACAATAAAGAAAAGGAACGGGTCTCCAATATTTCAAAAAATTTTTTTCCATTGCCTTTATTGGTGCATGTAAAATTTCATCATCTTTGTTTTTTGTAAATAACTCGGAAATTTTTATAATTGCATGTATTACCAATGGACTAGTAGGGTAATACACACCAGAAAGTTGTAAAGTGGCTTGGTAAAAACATTTGAGAAAAGAATGAAATACTTTAGCTATCTTCCAATCATTTCTACCAAATGATGAGGACCTCTATTATTTGCTACAAATAACTAATAATTGATAAGGTAAACATGAACAAAGCATTAAATAAGACTATTCCATCTAACAGGCATATCAATGCAAAAGTTCTAGGAGACATATTTGATTTTATACAAGCTCTTGAAATTCAGCATTTCTTATTACTACTAGTAATCCAAGCTAAAGATTCCTAATTCTATCATATTTTTTTTAATTGTTTTCATACCACTTTTCACAATTAAATTAATAACATGACATGCACAACGTTGGTGAAAAAACTTCATTATATATAAAAGATAATTATTTTGAAAAAATTCATAGCTTTACTATTAGAACTTGCATTATCTAAAGTTAAACTTATCACTTTACATAATATCAAATCTTCTAAAACTTCAATAATTTTATTATAGATTTCTAAACCACTATGATCCACATCCATTAATCTAATTAAAAAGATTTTAATTTAAATTCATATCAAAATAATGACTAGTCACACAAATATAAT